CAGCTTGGCGGAGACGCGAATCCTCAGTCTTCCTCTCCTCGGTCACGCCCTAAACTTATGAGTCATGGCTTCTAGCATTCCATCGGAGATGATGCTTACACCTTTGATAAGTACGATTTTATACTCACAATTGATGTCTCTCGTGTCTCCGCATGGAATCGGCTTCGATTGCCTGCCAGGAAAGGAAAAGGGGACGCGTGATAGATGTTTTTCAATCATCCTACGCCAGGCTTCCGATGGAAATCTGGACGTTGAAAGTGACGAAGATATGGATACCTCAGATGATGAATGTGACTCATCATGGTCGAGCGACGAAGAGGAGGGTCCATCAACCAGAGGTTGTTCATCGATCAAAAAAGAAGGCTCGATTAAATTTGGTAATGTGGAGGTATCAGAAGAAATGGTATGTGTTCTTTTCAATTAGTTCTCGTGAGTGGCTAGAATTATCATCTAGGTAGAGAAAGCGATTGCATTCTATCGTGCGACAGCGAAGGGTAGTCGCTCATTCAAAACGATGAAGAACAGATTTCGCTTTATTTCGTCGCCACATCATATTCAAAAATTGAGGAAATTTGAAGAACAGAGTAGGTTAACGAAAGCGATGGCTTCGCTCGATAAACTCTGCTTAGGGCAGATACAAGCGGACCGAGCAATACGTATAAGGAGACTTGCCGAAAAGCTGCGTAGTGAGGTGTACCTGAAATTTGGAATGGGTGCGACATTGCACGATAGCGACATCCGTCGTCTTGCACTGAAGATCAATGAGGAAGAATTCAATATTGACAGATTCAAAGCCAGCCTTAGGTGGATCAAGGAGTTCAGAAAAAAGAATGGCATTGTTCTGCAGAACGGTGTAGCTAGCTCCAGAAAAAAACTGGACCGGCTAGGTGATGCAACGCGCGCTTTCATGTTAGAGATAAAAGAAGGTAAAAACTTGTTTATTGAAAATACTCTTTGATTGAAGAAGATTGGCGACTGGAGGACGGCCGCTCGCACTTGCAAAGCAGTCTGTGCGTGCTTTCTGATCTCTACTTTCGAAGCCCCGCCTTCAAGCCGCCAATCCATTTGAATCAAAGGTTACAATGGAATCTACGAGTCACCTTTTAGAAATGGAGCGGTGGCCTGCTAGTGCCGTTTGTAATGCAAGTCAAATTGCGCAGTCAGGCAGCATTTCATTCACGATCATGCCCACAATTTATGCAGATGGGCACATAGGGAAGAAACTTTTTGTTGTAATGCAGGTACGAGCAAAGCTGCCAAATTCACTTGAACACAACTATCCTTTCACAGGAGAAGTCAGGATCATTTCCTACGAGCTTCTTCCGGGCAGACAATCTAGAGCTACGAGCCCGTTCGAGCCTTATCATGGACAAGAAATTACTCGCAGATTGGGTGAAAACGTGCTTGTTTCCCGCGAAGAACTCTCCAAAAGTTCTGTTGTTAGTGGACTCTTGGGCATCTTCTAAAGACCAGGTCACAATCGTAGCTGCTGTGCCAGGCGGTCATCAACATCTAAAAATCAAAAGCATACCGTCTGATGCAAATGCTAGGATACAGCCATTGGACTATTTCTTTCTGCAGTTTAGAGCAATGTACGAACGGTTTAGCTCTCACGTCATTGCTCACAATTTAGATTTTCGCTTGCAAAGTAGAGTTTCGATAATAAGATTATTGTCACTCATATACGCCCAGTTTTCTGCCTCTAAATTCACAAATTTTCATAAATATTGTTGGTACGCTGCTGGTTATTTTGATGAACACCCTGGCCCCTTCGAAA